TAGTGTTTCTATCAGCTTCGAGAAGGACATACATTTCTTTTGCTTTGAGTCTTTAAAAACGAGTGCGTTTAGGAAGTGGGATGACAGGTGAAACGCTGGGACCCCGTTTCCCACGGGCTCTCCCTGCTCCATTCCCTCCCCTGGAGGCGAGCTGGCTGACAGGACCCTGCTCGGGACCTGCACACGTCACCCTGTGCTCTGATGGGTGCTGTGTAGCCGTTTTCTGGTCTCAGCAAATAAACTCCTAATGTGTCGGACTTTGTGTCTAATCTAAAGAAGGCACTTAGAGGAGCGAGGCAGGAAGCTGCACTGTGCACCTCCCGAGAGGAGAGGAGAGGAAAGGACACGCGGGGCGGCCGGTCTGCGTTAGCGGCTGCAGGTGTGAAGTGTCCTCTGGGAACCCTAGAGGCTTTCAGACACCGCTTCCCAAGTTTAACCCGGGAACACCCGCCACGCCTCCAAGATTTTTCTTACAGAGTAGCTGCTTGTCTCCCCATCGACGACGTGCTGAGGATCCAGCTGCTGAAGATCGGCAGTGCTGTCCAGCGGCTGCGCTGCGAACTGGACATCATGAACAAGGTGGGCAAGCCCCCAGCGCGAGGCAGCCGGGAGCACGTGGCTCTGGGGTCCCACCCGGGGCCTGCAGGCGGCACAGGCCTGCAGTGAGGACTGGAGGGGACAGTACAACCTGAGTATGTCCCTGGGGTCGTGGGAGCTCCAGCCGTTCGCCTTCCTGAGCTGTGGGCCCGTGTGTCCGCTTGGTGTGGACTCGGCACCCGTGGTGCCAGCCTCTCAGCCAGCAGGAGGGGGTAGGATGCACTCGGCTCCTTAGGGGGTGTCTGTGACCTGTCATCGCATCATCATGTGAGTGCGTTTTCTCACTAACCTCCTCTTACTTTCCAGTGTACGTCTCTGTGCTGTAAACAATGTCAGGAAACAAAAATAACAACCAAAAATGAAATATTCAGGTGAGATATTTATTACATTTTTAGTAAACTTCTGAGTACATTTTCCCAGCTGTCTTAACACAATTATTGTCAAAACTATTTCCACTGCCCGTACACTTCACCTCTAGTTCCTCAGCAAGTGAACTGTGAGGGCCGGCGGCTCCCTCAGCCCCAGCACAGGGACCAGCAGCGAGAGCGGACGTCTGCCTCAGTCCCTGCTGGGATCTGTGTTCTAGGGCAGCAGTTCCCAGCATGGGGCACACGCCTCAGGGGGGCAGTTTGATTTTTAAATAGGCAATTTGAGAATGAGTTATTAACTGAATTTTTTTGCATCTCTTACGGCTCTAGGGCAGTGGTCGGCAAACGGTGGCTCGCGAGCCACATGCAGCTCTTTGGCCCCTTGAGTGCGGCTCTTCCACAAAATACCGACATCTGTGCAGGGGCCACAAAGTTTCATTCGCATTGTATGTGCACGCCCGCACGTGGTATTTTGTGGAAGAGCCACACTTAAGGGGCCGCAGTGTGCCAACCACTGGTCTAGGATATAGGAAGGACCTACCATGCCTCAGGCCTCACAGTCCGTCCTGTTAAACATCGTTTTGCCACATTTGGCCCCGATCAAGCAGGGAATGCTCTGACCAGGCTGGTGCTGAGGGAGTGTTTGAACCGTTTATGCCGCTTTCCTAACTGCTGTCTGCAGTGCCGGGCCAGCCGGGGAGACGCCCTGGCCGCACTGACTCCCATGCCGGGAGCAGAGCTGTGCCCTCACGGCGTTGTCTGCAGCAGGGCTGAGGCTAGCGCTGGTCCTCTGGCCAACATGGAGTGGGGTAGGCTGCATAACCTGGGTGGGCTGCCAGCTCCTGCTGTCACTCTAAGGCTCTGCTTTCATGTAAAGCTAACAGGTCAGAAATCGTAGCTCTTGTAGCCTCGCTTCTTGGTCAGCCCATAAGAAGTCTGTCGGAATGAGGCTTCCCCCTCCCCATGTTGTGCTGACTGACCCTGTGCTGTCTGTTGCAGCTTGTCCCTGTGTGGGCCCATGGCGGCCTACGTGAACCCCCACGGGTACGTGCACGAGACGCTGACCGTGTACAAGGCCTCCAACCTGAACCTGATAGGCCGGCCGTCCACGCAGCACAGCTGGTTTCCTGGGTAATGTCCTGGGGACTTTCCCTTTCGGCTTTGCCGTAACTGGGCACAGAGGTTTCTAAGTAGCATGGCTAGAGTTATAGCCTGAAGTAGACCATGGAATGAATGGTTCTGTCTCCATGCCCTTCATGCCGGGAGGGGCTGGCGCCTGGCCAGGGCTGTCCTTGCATCGGCTCCCTGATGTGGGGTGAGGAGGTGGGTGGCCCTGCGGGTGCCCTCGGGTTAACTGCACTGCCCGTCCCTGCCACCGGCAGCCTCCACCTGGGAGCCCGGGCGGGTCCCTCAGCCACATCCTCTTCAAGGGCCCCGAGTGTCTCTTCTGCCACATCTGGGTCAGCCTTTCTTTTTTGGACAAAATGAGCTGAGCAGGAATTAGTGGTTTTATTGTTACAATGGAGCTAGAACCATGGCAGTCGGCTTAACACCCTTTTCAGTCCAAGGACTAAAACTAGAATTAACGTGTTAACCTAAATTCTAAGCTTGGGAAAGCTCGGGTGAAAGGGCTGCGATTCCATGGTTTGGCGTGTTTCCCTGAAGAGCAGAAACACCATGGCGTGTATTCTTATGTTACTGATTTCAGAGAGGAAGGGAGGCGAAAGAGAAACACCAATGATGAGAGACTATCATTGACCGGATGCCTCCTGCATGCCCCACACTGGGGATGGAGCCCACAACCCGGGCCTGTGCCCTGACTGGGAATTGACCTGTGACCTGGTTCATAGGTCAGTGCTCAGCCACTGAGCCACGCCGGCTGGGCCTTGGCTAGTCTTTGACGGAGCCTTCCTATTTCAGAAGGTCCAGTTTCATGAGAACTGCTCACCTGAGAGCACTCCCTCTGGGGCAGCTGCCGCGAGGCGGTCACCTGTGTGGTCACACAGGAGCTGGACCGCGTGCCCCGCAGAAACTCTGGGTGTGAGGGGCGTGCAGACCAGAGCTCCGTGTTCTCCCTGATACTGACAATAGGGCCCTAGGGTGTCTCTCCCTAAGCTGGAGGCACAGAGATGGCCACTCGCTGACCTGCCCTTCGCCCTTCCCGCTGCAGGTTTGCCTGGACAGTCGCCCAGTGCAGGGTCTGTGCCAGCCACATCGGATGGAAATTCACAGCCACCAAAAAGGACATGTTACCTCAGAAATTTTGGGGTTTGACTCGCTCTGCTCTGCTGCCCACAATCCCGGACACCGAGGACGAGCTGAGCCCTGAGAAAGTTGTGCTCTGCTTGTAATGGTAGGGCCCCGGGCACTTCACAAGCTGTGGCCCAGGCAGTCCCCTGTGGGAATGCCCGCTACTGGCTCCCCAGCACAGCGGCCCGGGAGGGAGATCCACTGGGACACCTGGTTTCCAGGAACGCCCACCTCCACAGCGTGTGCCAGGGCCCCGTGCAACCTGGGGTCAGGCAGCTCGTCATGGCTAGACACCGTCCCGCACAGAGCACGTGACACTGCTGGGGGCAGCCCTGTGAGGCCGCGTGCAGAGCGGCAAGTGGTCCGTGTCCCTGAGGGCCATGCTCAGGCACCTGGTCCCTGTTGAGGGGCGAGGCAGTGGGTAGGGCTTCAGAGCCCTTTACAGGCCTGTGTTCCTCTCAACTTCTCGTGTCTCTGAGATCCTGGTTTGTAAATATTAGAGTTGAAAGAGGCAGCTTGAGCCCCAAAATACAGTTTTCATTTTTTTGTGTGTTTGTTAGTAAAAACCCGGTATTGTGTGCATTTGCTCAGTGTCTGAACTGTGACACCGCTGGTTCTGCTCCCAGTGCAATTGGGACCTAGACCACAGAGACGATAAGGAGCAGATGCTCGAGTGCGTCCCCTCCGGGGGGCCAGACGCTGTCTTAGGCTGTTTTGTTCAGGGTCAATTGAAAAAAACCTCTAAGTAAATTTTAAGAGCAAAACTAAAACACGTTCTCTGTTTAAGTGATGTGAAGTGCCTACGCGAGCAGATGGCGTAGGTGTAAGAAGTAACGGAGACGACGTTCTCGCTCCGCTGTTCGCACTACCTCTGCTTGTACACGGGGGCTCCCTGGGTGTCCCCCATTGGTGTGAGCTGTGGTGGTCTTGCTAGTCCTTTGCTGCTTCACCTAATTCACTGGGGAAAGTTCAACTAAGGGTAAAACATGAGGCCAAAACCGACTTGTCTTTTACCAAACGTGCACTGTGCCGACTGCCTCGCCCAGACGCCAGCGGCCACCCTGCACGTGCCACCTCGTTCCAAACTCCATACTGTTTTCCCCCGCTTTCCTGTGCCCCAGTGACCGCCAGGACCCGTGTCTGCCCGTCGCTCTGCACACCGTGCTGAGGCTAAACCAGTGAGGGCGGGACACGGCTGTGACATCTGCCCCTGAAGGTGTCATCTCAGAATGTTCCATATTGCTCACTGACACTTGCAAATAAAACTCTAATTAAAGTAAACACGTGCATGTCCTACTTTAAAGAGTGTGATACGTGAGGAACCCAGACGTGAAACCGCTAAGCCTGCACACCTTCCCCTGGGATGCAGGGACGCCGTGCGGTGGGTCCTGAGTGTGTCAGCGAGTGCTTCCCAACACCTGCACCCACAGACCTGGTCTGGGCTCCCTCCCGCAGAAGCCCCGTTACACCAAGGTTTCCACACCTCCTCTTAGCCGGGCTTTTACAGAAACATGGCTACTGCCAGTACAAAGATGCTCTGAGTGGCTACACAGAAAGGAAAACCAGTTATAAAATGTCAGGGTACAGCTAAAGCCTACACAGGTTAAGATGGGCAAGGCAACTAGCCTTCTCTCAGTGGGAACTGCCAGGAGAGCGCCAGGTCAGGGCTGTGACAGCAGCGGACACTCCTGTGACGCGGGGACCGTGGGAGGCCGTGTGCAGAGTGGCACGTGCCGTGCTCCCGAGGGGAGGCAGCCTTCACCTCGTGTCTGAAGTACACGACTCGCAGAGTGTAAAAGGCTTTATTCTCTGAAGACCCTCAGCTGCCTTCAGCTGCTCCTCAAGTCTCTCAAGCCTCCCCAGGGCAGAGGCGAGCGGCTTACCGAGACGTCCTGCTGGGGGCGGCTCCCACGGCCTCAGCTCTTCTTTATGTGACTCAGCAGCTCGTCCTTCTCCATCTGGTAAACTGCTGCAGCAGCACCCCGATTTCCTTCCCGGAGGAGATGCCCGCCTTCCTGATGTCGTGGCCGCTGACGGGAAAGGAGGGCACGGACCACTGCTGCAGGTCCCGCAGGAGGCCGGGCTGGCCCTGGTACTTCAGCAGCTCCCAGATGCGGGCGGCGGCGTCGGGCTCCCTGGACTGAGGGCCAACATCACACAGTGCCACACACATTAGAAAGCACACTAACGGCCCCCGCCTAGAGTTACATACATGCTCAGTGGGAAACTCAGTTAAAATACATGAAGTCCACAGAACATGTTGTGGGTCTTCGTGTTAATAAAGTTAGCTTTGCTCAGCCAGTGTGGCTCAGTGGTTGAGTGTCGACCTATGAACCAGGAGGTCGGGGTTCAATTCCTGGTCAGGGCACATGCCCGGGTTGTGCACTTGATCCCCAGTGTGGGGCGTGCAGGAGGCAGCCAATCAATGATTCTCATCACTGATGCTTCTATCGCTCCCTCTCCCTTCCACTTGGAAATCAATAAAAATACATTAAAAAAACAAAAAGTTAGCTTTACTATTAGGACGGACTGCACTGACCACGATCGGTATGCACTTACGTCTATAATGAAGTCCTGGTAGGGCTTCAGTGGTTCGGAACTATCCGTTGCTTTAGTTAAGTCATTCCTATATTTAACTAGAAACAAGCCAAGGTTTTTCTCTTCTTTGGAAATCTTCAACCTCAAATCCAATTTTGTGACATCGTCCTGCACTTTGAATAACGAGGCCAAGAGCGTCATTGGCTTTGGTGAAAGTCCGTCAACATTCCTACTGACTCTGTCAAACTCTTCCAAACTTGCATTAGCAGGTAAACCTGTCGGGACAGGAGCACTTCTCACTCGTCTGTACGGTGGTTACATTTAGTGAACGACACCCACACGCTACACCGGCCACTGCTCTGTAGGCGGAAACGCCCGTGGCCAGGGCTCAGTGTTGGTCCAATTGGTGCCCTCCACCCTCAGGGACTAGTGATGCTGCCGGCCTCACCCCCGCACCCTGCACACCGAGGGGAGCTGTGAAGCATCTGTGTCCATTGACTGGCTGAGCAGGGGGCAGAGATGGTGATCAGGCCCAAGGGACACAACCCAATGCAAACTCCTGGCCACTCACTGACGTGCGACCATAGGACACCCGCTCCTTCAGCCCTGGCGGGGCTCGGCTGGTGGAGAATCACCCGTGCACCAAAAGGCACGAGTTCAATTCCTCCTCGAGCATGTATGGGAGACAACAGACCAATGTTTCTCTCTCAAAAAACCTTAGAAACAGGTGACGATTTAATGAAAGAGCATCCATCTGCTCCAACAACTGTCTGTAGTCGAACTATCCAAGTTTCCCCACACAAGATGCACAGATAACCCGTTCTTTCTGAATGTAAATTATAAGTTACTAAGAAGTTGCTCTGCCTGCCTCTCTGAGTGCCCTGCATGTGGTCACTCACCAAACCAGCCTCATTAGAAATAGGCTGTTACTTTCATCCCCAGGTTTAGATTCAGAAACTAACAGGCGAGGAACTAACCCGCGTCACAGAGCTGACAAGTGGCAAAGGCTCATTCAAACCCCGGTCTGGCCGCAGAGGCCACTGTCCCGCTAGCCTACGCTGTGTCTGAGTTGTCCCCCACCCGTGACAAAACTCTCCTACCTCATCCTCAAAGTTTATTTTAAAATATCCCACTGCTCCTTTGAGGATTCACCTGAACTAAACACATGCCCTTACGGAATGCTGAGCCGGCGTTCCACCTCCCCCAGTGCAGACCCGTGCGGCCGGCCTCACCTATGTAGGGAGCCACGTCGAGGTCGTAGATGAGGTGAACCAAATGACTGACGTGATTTCCAACCAGAATCTTTTTCAGTTCCACCCAAATCCTCTCTCCTGATATTCCGCCCAGGCCTTTGGCATTTTCTGCAATTGCTTCCAAAGTCTCAGGGTCGTGGTCACCAGGTTTGTCTACAATCCTCCCATAAAACCTACAAAACAGAATTCAGTGGATCCCACTGTCGGCACACCAACCAGGAAGCTGTTTCCGACCTCCCGGCACCTTCCCCACCTAGTGAGTCACAAACACACAGCCACCTAGGGTCTGTTCTCTACCTTCTCTTTTTTCTACATGAGAAACCCAAAAGCCAATAAAATACAAGTAACTTCTTAAAGCTGGCAAGAACCAGGCCGCCCGCCTCACTCACTTCTGTCACCGAGGGAGTTGGGCGGGGCATCCAGCGCAGTCCCTGAGCTGGGACAGGGGAGTGAAAAGGGCGTTCTTGTCCAGGCGCACAAACAAGGCCAAATTCGACCCGAGCACCCCAGCCCGAACGCTGGCCTGCCTGTCACATCGGGAACGAATGACCTTTCTAATGTGACGTGCCTGTCCCTGACGCTGGAGTGTTCACAGCATCTCAGATCTGACCCCAAACCACCCCCGTTCATCCGTTCACCCTTGGCCACTCACTTGGGATGTCACCGCTTCGTGCACTGACTACTGTACACGTCACGGTCAGAACCATATTCCGGTAATAACTATCGATTTTACAAGTTCTTACCTGAAATATCTTAAAATTCGAAGGTAATCTTCTTGTATCCTCTTTTTAGCATGCCCAACAAATCGCACTTTCTTATTTTTTAAGTCTTCATAACCATTGAAGTAGTCATATAAAGTACCATCAAAGCCTGTTCGTCAGGAAAGGAGAGAACAGTGACAGATGAGAACCGGGAAGCAATGTGGCAGATCCACAAATGGAGCATCCCTCAGCCGTGAAGAGGGATCAAACCTGCCACCTGGGATGTGGGCGGCCCTGCGGGCATCAGGCTAAGGGAGTCAGCCAGACAGAAGCCAATGGCAGTGCCCTTGCTGCACAGCTGGCAGGCGGCGGGCGGCAGTCGACTGCAGCCACTTTGCCCCGGTCTCTGAGGCAGCCTCGTGGTTGTGGGCTGCAGGGCGGGCCAGGAACCAGGGTTCCCGTGGCGGGCACACCAAGGACCGAGGTGAACACTCATCCCCACGTTACCCAGGAACATGGAGTTGACAGTGAGGTCTCGGCGCTCGGCGTCCTGCTGCCAGTCCGTCGTGAATTCCACCTCCGCGTGTCTTCCGTCCGTGACCACGTCAATCCGCAGGGTGGTGATCTCAAAGTTTTCGTTCTGCAGCTGGAATTACAGGGTTTTCAAAATGAGGCTTCAGACTCACCGACGGGTGGAAACAGTGCGAGTCCTGACATCAGGCAGTTCTTTCTTCTCAGTCGGGTGGCACACAAGCACCCGACACAGAAAGGCACCTGGGACACGCACAGACGGAGCCACAGGCTATTTTCCTAAAAAGGTGAGTCTGATACAAAAACGGCCACTGGGACAAGTGAGGAGACAGAGGGGAGAAGCCCTTACAACAGTGGATCCCGCTGCTTCTGTTTCAAGCCAGGCTGCTCTCTGAAACCTTCCTACGGACCCCGTGTGCAGAGCTATGTCAGTTACAGGCTGTAACCACTGAGCGAAGGGCTGACAGAGGGGAAACGGGGAGCACAGCGGGCAGCTGCTCGCCCCTCATCAAGGAGGCTGCTGGGAGGCCTCCGTCCACCTTGGCTGGAGGGACCGTCTGCAGCGGTGAGAAGCCGAGTAGCTTCGTGACTGTGGCCTGCGCTGAGCCGTGAGAACTCAGCAGCACACGGACATGCACGAGTGAGAGGAGAGACAGCTGCAGTGCAGTGAGGAAGGGGCGGATGGAGAGAGGCACCTCCACGGAGCAGACATGGCGGGGAGCAGCAGGGAGCACACAGGGCAGGGGAGCAGCACGGGGTCTCACATGCACACGGGCGCCTCGAATCTCCGCACAGGAACTGGGAGCCAAGCGAACCCTCCACGGCTGTTCTGGAATTCCTGTCTCACCCACTCTTCCCTAGGGACCAGCTGGTCTCACTCCGAATTCCAGAACGCAGGAGGCTGAGGCACAGGGAAGCGGCAAGAAAAGGGTTTGAGATGTGAAGGCTCTTTGAGACCTGCTGTAAACACAGGGCTCCCAGGACGCCGCCTGCACCAGAGCAGTTAGCCCACTGGAAAGGCCCATCAGGAGCAGACACATCTTGGACGGCAGACGGAGAGGATCATGGGAGTGATCACCACGATGAAAACAAGATGAAGTGAAAAAAGTGACCAGGACCTGCACCCCTTCCCCCACCTGGTTTTTAAAACGCCAGACAGCGGGCTCCGCGGATTTCCCCCAAAGACACGCCCTACCCATAGCGACGTGGGTCCAGAGACATAAACTCTCCAGGTATTTTACAAACCCCAGGTGACACCTAACGCCAGGAGAGGGCCCAGGACTCCCCATTTAAGTCAAAGGAAAGACAGAAACCGCTCAGAGGAAGGGACAACACTGTCTACGCTGCCCTAAGGGAAATAAGATAGCAGGAAGCTTTCAAAAGAAATTTTCTAGAAAAGACCATCAGGAACTTGACAAGATTTGCAAACAGAATAGAAAGACTGGGTGGTCCAGTTACGGCGACCTGTGGAAAGCAAAGGGAAAGATAAGAGAATATAACAGAGGAGACCAAAGGCAAACTAGGTTCGTCCCCGTGGTCCATGCCCAGCATCACAGGAGTTTCCGGGGAGACAGTGAACCAGGGTGAGTGAGGAGGACGCCGGAGGCCCACCTGGGGCGCTGTATGGTCCATGAGAAACAAATGCAACGTGAGGCCCGTCAGCTTGAGAGTGAAAACACCAGGGAGGGAAAGACCACAAAGGCTTCCGGAAGGAGCACCCTCAGACACCCGTGAAGGGGAGGCGCGTCCAGCCGAGATTTCTCCGGAGACTCCGGGAAGGGCCGCCCCAGTTCCGAGTGAGGACTCCCCACTCTAAGTCCACAGCTACACAACCACCAGACCAGAGTGAGGGCGCCAGCAAGTAAGAACGCCAGGCATCCAGGACACAGGCCGTGGAAGAGGGCGAGGAGGTTCCCGGGGCTGACGCAGGGGAGCTGGGGCAGCGGGCGGGCGGCCCGGACCGTCCAGGTGAGGGCCCGGAACAAGGCCTGAAGCTTGGTCGCTGGATTGCACTGAGAGGACCCTGGCAGCGTGACAGCCCAGGACAAATCGGGGCACACACACGGACAGCAATGTCCAAGAAAAACGCTGTTAACTGCAAGGAACATAAAGTCACGTGACACCAGAAATGTGGTCACAACAGGCCTGCGATGCAGCCATGCACAGGCCACAGGGGAGCACGGGACGCTGACTTAACCCAACACCAAGGACGATGCCCTGAGAAACCGCCGCAGCTGGTGTGGCACATCCCCCTCCCTCCCTAGTAGGACCTCAAGTCAACAGATCCCACCTGAAAACTGGGAAATCAACACGAAACACCAGGCACAGAAAGGTGTTCTGGAACCTGCAGGCAGCAGGCAGCGGGTAAGTGCAGAGGAGTGGTGGGAAGGAGTGTTTCCGGGAGGAGAGGGGTAGGGGGGGAGGGGAGGGGAGCAGGAAGGCTGTCTCTCAGGAGCCTGGGTGGTTTGTCACTAGGAAGTGTAAGCTGGGAAGTCAGGACCGGGCAGCGCGGTGGCTGCCGGCGCCCCTCACCCTGGCCGTGACGGTCCCGTGCTTCTCGCCCTTGTTGTTGATCATGCGGACGCCGGCCGCCTGGAACAGCCCCTTCATCTGCTCGGGCGTGGCGGTGGTGGCGAAGTCCACGTCCTGCGGCTTCACGCCGGACAGCAGGTCCCGCACGGCGCCGCCTGCTATCCGCAGCTCGTGGTTTTCTTTGGCAAATAACTCTGATGAGAAAGATATTTTTATTTCAAGGTGTTTCCCCGAAGGACCCGGGGCTACGTGGTTTTCCAGCCTGTGAGAGCCGGCAGGACCCCCGAGCGCCTCCTGTGGGCGTCGGAGGACAGGCCCACAGGAAGGGAGGGCCTCAGTGAACGACCCTCCCAGAGCCACTCCACTAGGGACGCTCTCCTGATGGTCAGTTCCGTGATGCAGGACGAGGCTATCTTTCCGTCCTGATCACACGAGAGGTACCCGCTCCCGCTGCAGGCCGACGCCCGGCTCACTCAGCTCACACAAGCTTGGTGCACACGGGAACGGAACTGTGGTGGGGGCTTCATGGAGAGTATATTTTTAAAAAGGTTTCTTCCTTTGAGGCAGGGTATATGGCAGAACTGTGATCGATGAAAACTACAGAAACCATCACGGAAGCCCACCCCCACCAGACTAAGGCTTAGACCCTGCACAAGACCAGCTGGGCCCCAGTGGCTCATCTCACCCAGCATCACCCTCGCCTCATTAGCAGCTACAGAGGCACCTGAGCCACAAGATTGGCAAGGGAAGCCCATAACCGATCCCCTGAGAAGTCTCCACCCCAGTCCCTGAAAATCGGTTAAATGAGCCTCACTAAAGGAAGTCAGCCCACTGGGCGGGGCTGCAGTCTGTGGAGGAGCCCGCTGCTCGGGCTTCACTCAGAAACTCTCACCTCTACACTCTGGCTCTGCTCTGAATTCTTTCCTGCCCAACCCACAGCGGGTCATGCACCCGGGAATGCCTGTTCATCTCCAAATTTATAAAAAACAACAACCAGTATCTAAGCAACTTTTGGCAAAACCTGCAAAAACGGGCATGTTTAAGCGAGTGGCCGACCCTGGACTGTACGTAAGTACTTGGCACACAGAAAAAACACGCTTTGTGCTGGCCATGTCTTGCCTCTTGTGATTTCGCTATCACTTGGAGTTACCTTTCTCTCCCTGGACAAAACCAACAAAAGCCGGCAAAGTGGCCGAACACGAACCGTCTGCTTCTCGGTGTACACAGGC